ACAGCTGAGTTGGTTTACCCTTCGGTCTGCTGCTGTTTCCCATCGTAAGAATACCCCCAGCCCGCACCCATCCATGTAATGTACCGTTAACATCAAGCCTCGCACCCTGCGATACGCATGTAAGATGCAGCCGAAACTGCTCAGGAACGGCAAGGATTGCGAGTCGCAGGGCCTGATCCGCTGCCTGCAGACTTCCCCGTTAGAAGGAGAATGTGGGCAGTGCTCCGGCTGTTCCCCCACCCAGAAACCGTTCTCCCATTCCCCTGCTCTGCTTAACTGCAGCATCATAAATGCGCACCAGCACTGCAACAGGGAAGGAACTATAGCTCAGGGCAGCCCACTGGCAAAAGGTGCGCTCAGGTTCAGTCCTGGAAAATCCAGTTGAAGAGGGCAGGTAGCAACGCTTCCAGTCTCGGCAGAGTTTTCTTGGACTAGCCTGGCCCGATCTAAAGGTGCTTTCTATGTTCCAAAGATCTTGGCAGAACATAAAGTTTCACTGGGTTAGGGTGATGTGGGGTTGCCTTGGGTGGTCACTAAAGGACTTTCACAAATGCCCCATGCTGTCACTTGAACGCTGGGCGGAATCGCCAGCGAAATTCCCCGGGGTTGCAGAGGACAGAAGCTGTGCTTGCAGCCTCTCCAGCAAAGCCTCACCTATTCCCTTGATCTGGAAATCAAGTGTTATCTTGTGACCTTGCAGGGAAAAAACCTCAGGGCATATAACTCATGATGCAGAAGTGAACCTGGGCTTCCCACATTCACAATTTCTGTCTTCCCTTGCAGTGTTTCTGAAGGTCTCCAACCAGCCTCCCCCAACCTGGTGCTGTTCACTTGTGTTGAATTAGAAAACTCCCTTAATTGCCCAGCTTGGCTAGTGGATGATGGGAGCTGTTGTTGAACACATCCAGAGAGCCATGTTTTGGGGCAAGCCAATAAACCAAACTCAAGAATACATTTGAAATGTCTAAGCGCTCCCGGCTCCCCTTCTGAGGCATGGAAATGACACCCTTGGGATAAGAGCAAGAGCTGGAGAGGGTTTGGCTCCCCAGGACAGAACAGAGCCGTCTCTCCTCCTCGGCCTGGCCCCCAGCCCCCTTTCTATTTTCTGCTCTGCAAAAATGTCGACTAAAATCCATGATGTGGGTGCCTGAGCTTGTTTCTCCTGGCTCTTAAAGGCAGGGAGGGCCTTTGGAATATGGCTCCTGAGCCTTCCTTTCTTTGCTGTCTTGCTGGCACATCTCCCGTAAAAGAATGACTTTGTTTGAAGGGCACAAGCCTCTTTTATGCATGAATGCAACCCACACAGGTTGAACGGGTGCACCAATGCAGAGCCGGGGTTGGCTCCCACAGCAATATTAAAACGTCAGCCAGAGATTTCCTGGAATTAGATGGGCACATCAGGTAGTATTTCAGTGGTCCAGAGATATAAATTTCCCTGGCTGAGCTTTTTGTAGCCTGGGAAGGAATGGGGCTGGGGAGTTCAAAACTCCAGGTATTGTGCTTCAGGCAATGACAGCTAAGAGGCCTGCCTCTGTACGGGGTTTAGCAAAGGAAGAAAAACAAAAGCACACATTCAAAGGGCTACCGCAAGAAAGGGATGTGGGCCCAGGACTCAAGAATGGGCTCTGTGTCTCACTAGGGCTCCCTCTCCTTGAGGGATTCCCCAAACAGAGTGTTTCTCTTATTGCACTGCAGCTCCCTGCGGTGCTGGAGAGGATGGTCAACAATTCTAGGAGAAATGTCAGCAGAGTGGGACTTCAGGGGTGATGGAATTGAGCTGGCAATGGATTACCTGAGTAGGTGCAGCTTGCAAGTGTGTACCTTTGCAGCCACAACTTCTAGTCTTTCTTGTAGGACCCATAAGCCAATGCAACACGATCCTTTCTGAATAATTTGTGGTTTTTAGACCAGAATGGAATCTGGGAATACCCAAAGGGCAAACTCCCTGATATGTTAACAACAGAGCTTTCTGCTGATCTTCTCTTTCATGCCAATGGAGGGCTTTCCAGTTTTTCCTCTTTTTAGCTCCCCGGGGAGGGGGTGGATTGAGAAAACAAGCAGTTTGGAGAGAAGGTATAAACCTCCCCTAGCAATGGACCAGGTGTGAGTCCACCAAGACTCACCTGCGGAAGCCTCCAATCGAGACTATACTCCAGCGGCCACATCCTCCTGGTGTCCTGTTTGTGAACCACCTGCACCCCACGTGAGCAGAGGCAGGGCTTAATCCTTCCGACAAAAGTTCCCCCACCTTTCTTTTGGCAAAGCATCAAGACCATGATTTGTTTTTGTTTGCTTGTTTGTTTGTTTGCTTTGCAATAATTCCCTCAGAAGCAGGCCTGGAAGGGGGCAGATGGGATGTCACTCAAAAGCAGGGAATTCAGCATCAAGTTAAAGCAAGCATTTTTCACCAAGTCACCAGGATGAGCTTCTCTTCCCCTCGCTAGTATCTGGAGAAGAGGATCCTCAAACCTGCAGACAAAGGCTTTCAAGGGTGTTTTAAATTCTCCTTCATTTTATTCTTTGGGAATTAGCAATGGAATCATGCGACGAAAGGTCTTTGGAATCCTGGCTAAATATTAGACCACATCACAGCCTCCCTATGCTAATTTTGCTTGATGAGTTAATTACACCCTTCTTCTGTTCATGGGTGGGATTTCACTGCTGTGCAGCTGACGCATCAGGAATGGAAGATTTTGATTGCACACGGAGAATCCTCTGACAGCAGTCGACCTTGAAGCTGACTTGTTAGAGGCAACTAGGGATCCGTGCACATTATGGGCCAGAGAGGCCTGGACTTATCTGGTGCAGCTCGGCTGTTTTGTAATGATGTCACCAAAGCAGAAACCAAGAGCAAAAAGCTGGAACAGATATTTAAGCATCTGGCCTTCATCATGAATCAATCACTCATTCAGAACAAGTCAGGATGATTTAAAATCTAATAAGATCACATTAGGAGCCACCCTGCAAAAACAAGTGGAACAGAACCAATTTGGATCTCCTAATGAAGGCGTGCACTCTGCATGTGCTAACGGGTACCTGTGAAGCAAGAGATGATCTGCCAAAACCACACACGACACTTCCTTTAAGTGTGGGAGGTGCCAGCCTGTGGTTGCATTAATCAGCTCAATTTTTACAGCTAAAATAATCCTACAGATAACCCAAACACAACCGAGACACAAACATGCCCTCGGGATTAAACTTGTCTTTCTGATTAGGGGTGCGCCCTAGCTTTCCAGACCCATTCCAACTCTTTGCCATCAATATAAGCAACAGAGAACAACTCGGGTAGAAAGGAAACGTCTCTTTGTTCTCATGGGTGGAAGCCCTGGCATTGGCCGTAAAGGATGTCTGTAGGACTGGATGAAAAGAAAGGAGATGCGGCAAAAGGCTTGTATTCCAACATCTGGCCAGCCCTGTGAGAAGTCTCCACAGCCGCAGTTGTGCGATATGACACTTCAAGAGGACAAACTGTGATCTGAAGGGTTGGCTGATTAGGACGTGTGAGGAGGAGAGAGAGGTGTACCTGTAGGTGATGGCCTGGCCCACTAAGAGTGGGACTTTCATTTTAAGCCTGCATCTGGAAGGCAGGAACGTATGTTGACCATGATTCCCCCAGGGACATGGAGAGCCGCTGCACAGGGACCCATCAAACTAATAAAGAGTTTTGCCATCGTGTGACACCTCCTAGTGAGGAGAGTCCCTTTGGAAGGATTCAAAATGGCCCTGTGCATGTCGGCAGGATTTTGAATGAGACCTCAGCTGCCCAAATGAGAGGAAGACCCCTTGGAGAACAATGGTCTTGCACCCTAAAAACCGACGTCTTGTTCCCTCGCATCTTGTAGTAGCAAAACGGGGGAGGAGGGCAGGACCAAAGTAGGGCTGGAATCATTCAGGCTGCCCTCACCGGACCTACGGCCTGTCCCTGTCTGAGGCAGCTTCGTCACCGATTCCACCCTTCCAAAAGGAGGCAGCCATAACAACGATCCCTGTGGGAAGCCTGGTTACGCTGAGCCTTAAGCCTCGCTTAGTGTAAGCCTGGAGGACTTAGAGGGTGATGGATTGATAGGGAAAAACACACGTGGCAAGTCTGAGCGACTTCCGTAAGGGAGTTCCTTTCAAGGAAGGGTGCAAGGACCAGTACTTTCCCAGTAGAGGGAGAACTCCACTGCCAAGAACATTTCCAGTGATTAGATAGAAGAGCAGAAGTTGCCAAGAAACTGAATCAATGACATGAAGCAAAGAGAGGAGAGGAGAATCCATGGACAAATTCTTGGGATGAAGAAGTTAGTAGGTGGGTGGATATTCCTCTCCTATACCCAGAAACCAAGCAGCTGTCAGGTAACATAGGAAGAACCAAGCAGAAACAAATGAGAGCCAATTATAACAAAGGTGACCTGCCACAAAAATAGAATTTCACCATTAAATACCATTTATCCTGTTTAATTAGTACTTTCTGGACACAATGGTCTGGCTTCAAATACCGTCTTCTCTTCTTGGAACTTCTAATTATTTCTACAACCTACACTATTATGCTTTCTCCATCTTGCATGCCATTTAAAGCCACAAAGATTTTTAATTATCTATGCTGAACTGTCAAAGATACCTTTAAGAATGTGTGACTCAATTCTTCTTCCTCTTTTAAAAAAGGGAAAAATGAACATTTTAAACCATAATTCTACTTTTTTGTGAATGTGAGAAGAATGCCCTTTTGGAAACATCCATTTAAATGCAAATTTTGGTATTCCAAAGGGTGCATAAGTATGCTTTTGTCTTTTGAAACGGAGAAGGATCCCTGGGACCCCCACTGGCCACACTGTTGTGTCTTGCACAAGTCACGCAGTTTTTGGACCTCTGAATCTCATTCTGTACCAAAAAAGACAGGCATCGTCTTGCTTTGAGTTGAGCTGTGGCACAAGACAACTCAGGTGCCTCAGAGCCTTGGAATACAGACAGAAAACATAAATATATTCTTGCCAGTTGTTTGTCTATTGCACACTTACCCAGCATTCCCATCCCTAGCATAAAAGCATCCATGGTATATGGTAATCCGCGAGCCCTTCCTCTTGTCCCTGGTGGAAACATCACTTCCTTAGGTTGTGCTTTCTTACATTCCACCTATTAAGCAGAAACATGTACAAATGAAATGCAAATGAATTCATGTAAAATGTCAAATGCTGAACTGATCTGGTTAAGTTGTGGAGGGGGGGGAGGAGAAATTGTTTTTAGCATTGCTCTTCCATAAAATGTGAACTTTAAAAATAGGGCAGCAGCGTAAAGTGATTTTTCAAAGAGTAAATATATGTAATGTGACTTCAAAAGGTGTACAGTGCAAACCCAGCTACATCAGAGGGAGAAAGCGTGGCGAAGACACACAGCTAAGGAGCTATTATCACAACCCACAGGGAAGGCGGCAACGAAGATCTGGGTGCCTCCAAGCTGTTGTTTCATCGTCATGTACCTACTGCTGTATGTTGTGTGAGATCAGGGCATCTTGTCAAGGGTAGCTGGGAGCTCTGGGTTCGAGTCCCGACCAGCTGTGGAGCACAATGGGTGGGTGGGTGGGCCAGCCACAGATGTTCAGCCTAGCCTACCTCAAAGGTTTGTGGTTGTGTGGATAAAATTGAGAGGAGATGAGGAGGAGGATTATGGAAGCCATCTTGAGTTCCTCGCAAGGAAACAACAGGAGATATAAATTAAATGAAGAAATATGCAAGATTGCAATGGGTACCTCTTGTAGCCTCTGTAAAGGCCACAACGCCATCTCTTGGATCTACATTGTTTGCTGGCTGTTTACAAAGTTAGGTCTGCTTACCCTGGACTATGCTTTAATGCTCCTTGTGCAAGTGTGGCTTAAATGCAAATGCGCAAATGTGTAGGCACAGAAAACAAATCAGCTAGGTTACCTCCTCACACACACAGCCAACAGCAAAGTCCTGCTGTATCCCTGGTTAATTTGACTGATCATCTGGATAAGCTCTTATTTTGACAATACTTCGGTGATTATGAGGAAGTCAGGGATACTTCCCTACACAACACCCTTACAAGCAGTCATTAGCAACTATCTAATTGGCACACATTTTGCACAAGAAGAAGAAAAAAACTATCCTTGCAGTCAGGGGAAGAAAAGGGTTTTTCTTTCTACTTTTTGGAGCTTAATACCATTTTGATCATTTTACCAGCTTCTGGCTGTAACAACCTTTGAGATCAACCCTAACCAAGGGAAAATGGCAAGGTGCAAGGCTGAACTATCTTGAGTTCCCTACATGAGTTGCTGGGATGGAAAAGGACGATATAGTTCTATTGGTGCAGTTTATAAATTTAATAAATAAATAAATGGTGCATCCATATGATCTAAAGGACAGATCTGGAGGTGGGGAGAGGACATTCTGAGCCTCATTCCTATGTCCTATAATATGAGGTAAGCCGACAAGCTGGAAAACCTGGAGAGCAGCATCTCACAGTTGCCGATACTCGTGAAACACAAGCAGAAAATGGATGCTTCCACCTTTCCATCCTTTAAAAGCCCACTTCTCTCTCAGAAGTTTAGGACCAAAGCAGATGACATGTGAAGTGTCTCGCAGCTGTGGAATGAACGGGATCATGGAACTCTTCGCTGCCTTGCATAGTCCATATGAAAATTCCTCCCTCCTCAACTGTTTGGCCCAGAATGTAGAGGAAAGCACAGCTGAGGTGGGACTAGGTTGAGGGAGGTGCCAAAGCTGCCCCCTGACCTAGGAAACACAGTATCTGAAAGATCCATTTTAATGCCAGCTCTCAGCTTTGTTGCGGATGCAGCCCGCTTCTGGATCCCACAGAATTCAGTGGGAGCCACGGAGCACAGAGTCAGACATGTCAAACAGCTGCATTTACATAAACCTGCTTCCTCATCTGGAGAGCTCCATTCTGGCGTTGGTTTCTCCTTGGCCACACACTGGAATGTGATGGGATGCTTAAGGGATGATAATATATTCAAGTTGTACCTGCCACAAAACGGAGATGGCCCCCTTTCAAGGTGCTAGCCAGCCAGCCCTTCTTGCATGAGGATCTATTCCATCTTCCTTCCCCTCCCAGCAAACCTCATGTACAGCTTCCACTGGCAGAGAAAGGATGGTCTCTGATTCCCCTCCTTGAAAGACTGTTTTCTGTCAACTTCTGCTATCCTTGGGCTTCCTCCTATTTTGTTGGATACGGATACTCCCTTGTGTTTCCCAATAGCTACAGAGCTCTCCTGGCTTAGAATCATAGAACAGTAGAGTTGGAAGGGGCCATGAAGGCCATCCAGTCCAGCCCCCGCTGTTGCAGAACACCGAGTCACACCATCCCACTCAGATGGCCTTTGAATGCCTCCAGTGTGGGGGAGCCCCGCACCTCTCCAGGCAGCTGGTCCCACTGCCGTGTTGCTCTGACAGGGAGGAAGCTTCTCCTGATGTCCAGCCTGAACCTGGGTTGCTGCCACTTGAACTGATCATTCTGTGTCCTGCACTCTGAACTCTTAGCGCTGAAGCCACAAAGAGTCTATCTAGGAAGCGCGCTTCTGCAAATGTATCTGAATTGTCTTTCAGAAGAAGACCTTAAAGATCTCTCCTTCCTCTGCCTGAGCCTGGTTTTGCTTCCAGCACAGCATGCATGTGAAGCTGGCCACCGGAGTGAGGACGGAAAAGTGAGCACACTTTGGAGGAGCAAATCAGGTAATTAGATGAGGCAGAACTGGAAAAGGAGCTCGAATAGCCCTATCAGTAACAGGGTATCCATTGTCTTACAGGAACCAACTGCCTGTTCCTAGGCAACCCATCAGTGAAAATTTCAGGTTTGTACAAATTTCATTTAGGTAACGTAAAGGTTAACTGACTGTAAATGGGTGTATTTTAAACAAAACCACCCACTCTCTCACCCGCCCCACCGCTACAATTCAGCTTGCGATATTTCACGGAGCAATAAAGCTTCCATTCTGCCAACAAACTTGTCAAAACACTGGGTTCTCAGCAATCACCTGCCGGAAACCTCCGCATGTCGGAATGAAACCGCTCCAAGCTTCACCAATGGCCACGGTTTGCCAAATAAATGACTAGGTGAGAAGGGTTCTTGGTAAGGGAAGAAAGAACCAAGAAAGAGGAAGGCAAGGGCAAGTATAAGAGCAGCGGTGATGGAGACAGGACCAATGGTCCTTTTAGAGCCGCATCCTGTTTCCAACAGTGGGCAGCCAGAGGGGAAGCCTACAAGGAGAGACCAAAGACGGCAGTGTCCCTTCTGCTGGTTTGCTGGCATACCACTCCCTCGCAAGGACAGGTGCTCTTCTGCAGGGGCAGCAGCACTGGCTTATTGTGCAGGGGAGCTGCGGGCAGGAAAACCAACGGCATCAATTTGGGGAGGTGGACATAACGTCAGGCGCATGCTGGATTCATTATCTGCTCACACCTGGAAAGGCCACTATCTCTCAGTTGAGCTGCCCCCATAGAGTCATACTGAAGATTAAAAAAGCAGGGGCACCGAAAATGCCCTGAGCATCTTAAAGAAAAGGTGAGATTAAAACAAATGGAAAAGTGACAGAAATATAAAGATGGGGAAAGCTTATCAGAAAGCAGGCTAGGTTTGCACTATCTAGGTTCTCTGGGTAGGAGAGGTCCTTGGTAAAAGGCCCTCTCAGAGTTCCCCTCATTCCATCTGGCAGAGCTGAGGTTTCTTTGGGCTGAACCCTTGCGGCATTCCCCGGCCGGTCTCTCCCAGTGCCTCAGGGGTTGAATTAGTCTGGCGCATTTTAGAGGGAAACGAAAGGGCAGCTGCACAAAAATATGGCAAGACCTGCAGTGTCTCCAGCCACGTCCTGGACTGGAGTAACCTCTACAACACTGTGGAAAATGAAACTGCACCGGCCAATTGAATTTAGCTGCAAGGTTCCAGTCCTCCTTGTCGACTGGGCGCTGAGAGCTGGCAGCCATCGGCAGGATGGACCCCAGTAAAGCTGTCCAAAAATGCTACAGGAAGATGCCAGGCCTGACCTGTCCAGGCTGTGGGTGTCCACTCTTGAGCATCAGAAGCTAAACCTCTCCAAAATACTCTTCCGTGGTGTTGTTTTAAAGGGGGAATGTTGGGAGTAACCAACCGTATTTGCTGTCTTTAGGGTGGGCCGGGCTGGCGCGCTATCGAGGCGTTTATCCATTCACACTCTGGAGCAGGCGTTCTTCATACATCCCACATCCACACTGCTTGCATGTCACGGGGTCGCCACTTACAGCTCGCAGGCATTTCTATTTCAACAGCTCACTCTAATATCAAAACAACCTACCCTGCCTACATGGGCAATTAAAGGGAAAATGAAGTCTGGATTAGCACCGTTAAAACAATAAGCCAAACAATTAGCTCCTGGAACCACAAAAATGAGCTACTGCTGGTATCCAACAGACAACTTTAATTTATGATGCTCAAAGCGTAAGCGGGTGACACAACAGGAATACCAGAGAGCCAAGAAAGACGTTTTTGCTTGGTTAAAGCAATAAAACAACCCCATTGTTGTAAAAAGCCGGCTCTTACGTCCTCACCAGAAGCTCGGGGAGTCTGATTCCCCAGTGCTGTTCACAGCAGAGTGAGCTCCCCTCCCTCAGCAAAGAGAGCAAGCCTTTATTTGGGGCAGATGTATCCTCTCCCCAAGAAGCAGGATGGGAAGCTTGGAGCTCAAATGTCTTTCATTTGCAAGCTGGCTTTGCGCACCCTCTCAGCATCCTGCAAGTCTGAGCCTGGATGGCTCACATTTGAGAGAGGGACATGATTAAACACCCTCTTCCCCATGCGCAGATTTCAAAGCAGTTTAATAATGCATGGGTGCACATCATTAGCAGTTCTTTTAATCTAGCGGAAGGCTGAGACAGGAAGCGGCTTGCCCAAGCAGCAGAACTGAAAATCCAACTTCCACTACTCACTTTCTTCCCTTTCCAAGTGAGACCCATCTATGGATTTTATCCTGACACTGGGTTCTATGAGTCACTTTGTTTGTTTGTTTAGCCGAAGTCTGGTTCTAGCCAAAAACAAAACAAAAAAAGGCTCAAGAGTGGTTTACAAACATTTGCAGCAAGACAGTTCCTGCCCTCTAAAAGACAAGCCACATCAGGAAAAGGGGCCAT